CATTGAGAGAGATGAGTCTTGTCTAAGTTTTGAGTTTGACTGTAGGTTACAATAACTTGGTCTCTCATGTAATTGTATATGATCTTTTTTTTCTAAATTCATAATCAATGTATGCCTATCTGTTGCAAATTAATAAGAAAAGAAAGGTTGAAGAAAGGACGATACCTTAAGTTCTGAGTCATAGAACATCTCATTAGGTTCCTTGAGAATGGAAGCATGTGAACGGTAGTTGTTGAGCAATTTAGTCACAACCTGCCTGTTGTAATGGCCTGTACTATCCCTGTACATGGGCATCTCCATCAACCTTTCCAGATAGGACTTATCTGTAAAATATGTAAAGAAATCATTGAATACAATATATAAAAACAACATTTACCAAAAACTTATGGAAAAGAAAAGAAAAGAAAAGAAAAGAAAAAGAAAGAAAGATAAAGGTTATCCAACACCACATATGTCACCCATACCTAGGCCATTCCTGTGGAAGAGACTATCATCGCCTGTGAAGCACTGGGTGTTCCTAATCACAGGACCCAACTGGTGAGGGTCCCCAGTCAACACCACCTGAGCATCCTTCTCTACAATTCCTGCCAGTGCGGACATGGCTTCAGGCTCCATGGCATGGCCACACTCATCTAGAAACACATGAGTTATGTGACCTTGAGGGAGGGAAGCTCCTGCTATCCTGAAATGACAAGCATATAATGGTAAGCTATAAAACTGCAAACAGAGTGAAGACAGTTCTCTGGCATCCCTGTAATTAGCATAAGATCATTGTCTTTCTTTAAAGACACGATACCAAATAGCATTACCATTCTTTCTTAAAAGCCAACTGTGACATGTTTTGATTTCTAAGAATTTTTTATCATTGGACACTATGCAAGAACATTTACAGAAAAGGATATAATTTTCAAAAATATATAAAAAGGAAACATCAAAACTATAACTGGTTTTCATACTTTACAATAGAAAGTGATTAGAAAAAAAATATATATATTTTTCTAAATATCATTTTATATACTTAATTGCTGTAAACCATACTTGAAGTACCCTTGTCCTAAATGCTATAGAAATAAAAAGGTAGAAAAAAAAAGAAAAAAAGAAAAATGGTCTATGAATTTGAATTCGATAATAATAAAAAAGTTCTTTATCTTACTTCCCAGCTGTCACCAATGTGCAAACTATGATCTTGTACGCCATGAGTTTCTCATCCGATGGGGTGTAAATATTGCCATCTTGGATATTGGACATGTCCCGTAATTTTTCCGGAATGGTTGATCTGGAGTGTGCAAAGGTATAATATTACGGAGTTGCATTCACAGGGAAAAAAACAAAAAGAAAACAAAACAAGAAAAAAGAAGAAAAAACAAGAAAGAAAGAAAGAAAGAAAGTAAATAAGAAAGAAAATCAGTACAAAATCAAAACTTGCAATACAGTATTCATGAGGATATTCATTACTCTTAACAAAAGATATTAATGCACAAATTGAACAGATGGGGAGGGGTCTTACATCATCCGTGATTCTGCATGCATACGCAACATGTGCTGTTTTGAGATGTGTTCCAGGAGACGTATAGCAATAATATCTGATGCAGAATTTGATGGTGCACACGCCACTATGCGGCTACTGGGTTGCAACTTGTAAATCTGGATAAAAGAAAGAAAGGAAGAAAGAAAAAGGAAAAACAAAATAAAAACATTATCTCGTAGCTGTACATTTTTTAATGAAATGATATCCAAATGATTACAATATTTTATAAAGTATAAACACTCTTAAGAGAAAAATTATCACTTTTTTTCCGCAGATCATATGAAAGAAATGTATATTTCACCTTCTGAGACACCAAAGAATAACAATAACAAAGAACAGACTATGAAACTCAACAATCTAAAAAAGAAACAATAATATTTTGCACCAATTCATTTGCATCAATAAATAGATAAAAATCATGTAATTTTCCTTAACTTACCTGCTTGATAGCCTCAACAATGGTAACAGTCTTCCCTGTGCCAGGGGGACCAAACACAATGTATGGGGCAGGCTTTGAGGTCCCTGCGACAATGTTACGTACAGCTTCCATTTGCTCTGCATTGGATTCCAGTTTGCGGTTAAATGGCCTGTAGAGGAGGTATGTTCTTTGCATTGGTCTGGTGAAATGATATCACAAAGACTGAACAAGTAGAATCATTATTTCCTCTGTACTGGACACAATAACAATAATCACATAACCAACAGGATTTTGAAACAACACAGCACTCTCCTCTCAAAACAATTGATGGAATATTTACATAAGTGTAATGTTCAATTACAAAAAGATGAAAATAAAATTAAAAAGGTAACCTTCACACCAATCCCTTTTGAATATGAAGCACTTACACCAACTAATAAACAAAATTATTTACAATTAATTTACAAAAAACAACTTGTGATCACAAATCAAAAATGAAGCAGTATATTTACCATGTATTTCATTCTTTCCCTATGCCAGAAACCCGAAATACTCACAAAATATTTTGGATGGAAGCTGCGCTTGAGGCTGTGTTTCTGGGGAAGGTCAAGTTTCTGAGAGACAGTGACTGTGTCAGAGTTATTGCTCTATGGCACACTCTCAGCGGATAGCGGCTGAAGGTGAATTCCACATTGACTTTCATCCTGTCAACAAAGGTGCGCATAAATCTGGAAATGAAAAGTTAAAACCATTAACAAAAATGAGGAAACTTGGCTGGATTGCAGTGATAAGTGAACAGAATCAGAAATGTAATACTACTACTTTAAGTGAGAGGGATAGATAATAGATGAAGCCTCTTGTAAGAGTAGTTTGTACCATTTAAACTATGATCAAGATGCACACAAGACCTATCTTTCGTTCTGTACTTCTACCACTGAATCTACATCAATTACATTATTTCTCACTTACTCTGGATTAAACGCTAAGTAGATGGACCTCTCAAGGACCTGGTGAACACAACCTTCATAGACTGCCCTTTGTCCTGGCAGCTTGACAAAGACATTATCTCCACGCAAGACTGATGGACGGTTTTCAGCTAATCCTGGTACCTAGCAAAGTGAAGAGACATCATTATATCATTATTTCCAAGTAAAAGAAAGAAAGAAAGAAATTCTTTTTTTTTTCATTATTCTCTTACAATTGTTGATGTTTATGTAATCACATGTGCTTCTCTTATAATTCCCTGTAGGATATTATTGCTAGCTACCTAAACCTTGAGTATATATTTTACTTTTATATTATATGAGGGAAATATATAACAAATAGGCTCCATATTTGATACATATAATTTCCTCTTTGCGGACTATATTCAAGTATTTCCACAAATGAAAATTATTCATTCTGGTAAAGAATGTTTAATCACAGACAGCAGGTGGATTGTACTAATATGAACAAAAGTTTGCTTCTTTATCCAGCCAGAGAGTCTGAATCACCTGAGTTAACAAAGCTGCTGTAGGAAGTGTTGCCGTTGCTCAATAGATAACACAGTTCACATATGTGTATCAACTTTGGAACTGAGGGAAGTTTCTTACATGCAAAAATCATGTACTGCAGTTCTAACGTTTGTTACAACAAATGATCTTCAAGATTATAGTACTGGTATTGTAGCTACATATGTCTGTTAAGCAGTGCATTTTCACTTCTGACTCTACTCCACTGCCTTGTCTTATCATGTCACAGCCCATATACTCTTCATAGTAAGACACTTATTCAGTGTTCACATTTCTTCCATCTGCTTCGTGGTGTGAACTCCCACTGTAGAAAGGCAGAGAGGACCAAACTTTTGTTCACAAAAGCAGGGAAATGTCATGTCTACTATGATTTTAGTTTATTATTAAAAGAGCTTAGATACTAAGCAGTTAAATACTAGTCCTACCTGATCTCACCTGTGCACCCTTTATATTGAATTATGGAAAGATTTTCATTCTTTTTTCTTACTGGTGTTATCAATGCTAATAATTAATGGCAATAATAATAATAATAATAATAATAATAATAATAATAATAATAATAATAATAGAAATGGTATTAACAGTATTAGAAAAAAGAAACTGTTTCCCAAAATTTTGAGGAAAGATGATATCAGGTGAGATTAGGTAGAAATACTAATTGACACTTTGGTAAAATGGCCCTTGTAGAATCATATAGGTGTAAACAAATTTCACAAAACAAAACTACAGGAACAGTGTAATTATCTATGTAGGAATGGGTTAATGACACAGTTTGCCTAAAGAAATTATTCATTCTCATTCATATCTTCTTCCAACATTCCTGGCAATCATTTGGAAGTTGATACATACCTCAAGCTCTACACAGTCAGCTTTTGAGTACTGCTGTCGTGACACTCTTGTCAAAGGTGCCTCAGGCATGTTGTAGAAACCAATGTCTATTTCCATCTGCATTTCTTCAAGCCAAAGCAATGTTTGAAACCATTTCACATAGTTATTTTCATTCAGACCATCCTTCAGCATTGCTCTATGAAAAATAACAAAATAAACACAAAAATGAAAGAGAAAAAATGTAATAAATTTATTTAAAAAATAATCAAACAATGAAATAAAAAAAAAATAAATCCTATATTGACAGGATTTCCTCCCACCAAACCAAGAAATATGCTGGGGCTCGTGCAGAGTTAGCCATTCAAGTGAATAATCAGAAGCTTGGGCAGTGAATATTTAACTCTGCTTTGCAGAATTTTGGCAACAGAATCAACAATTTCTCAACATTTGCAGATAAACCAAGGCTTTAACTCCACACCTGATGGGCTGTAGCTCCTGAACTGCCATGCACAGAGCCAAAATTAGCAAACAATTGTTTAGGAAACATAACTAAGGAGCTGGCTGACTGTACATTAGGGTGGAGTGAAAAACTTTTACTTTTTTATTTTCAAAAGGCCTGGATGGGGAAAAGTTGTGGTTTCACAAAGCAAATGCTGCATTAAAATGATTTTCTTCTAAGATAATATTTAGATTATGTACACCAAGCTTAAAGTTC